AGAGAGAGAGAGAGAGAGAGAGAGAGAGAGAGAGAGAAGTTTACATGCTGGTAATATGGCAGACAGTGGAATTGGCCAAGAAACAATTACAGGTGATGCCATACTCAAATCCTTTGGTCGGATTGGGATCAGTCCATGGTTTTTGATTGTTGCACGGATCTGGATCTCCACTGAAATCCCAGTTCGTCTTCCCCAGTTTCTTTGCTATGTCAGCTAAAGTTTGTACTACATATATATAAAACAAAGTGCAACAATAATTTAACACCATATGCTCAATACTCAATGTCTACACATTCATATAATTACTACCATTAATGTCTAAATAAACAAGAACTACAAAATCATGAATCCAAGCATCATATTACTGAAAGCTGTCAAGTATAGTGTTCTATGACTCGTTTGTCTAGTTGGGCATGCGAAATATCTTTTGCCCAATTTGAGGGGAGTGTTGGCGAGTCCTTACTTAGTTAGAATTTTGATTCCTTTTACATAATTATAAGATGAAAAAAGGAGATTAAGGAAGAAATTTGACATATAGATATATTAAGATTATATATATACACACACATACGTATACCTTCATCTGGTGGCAATCGAGTAGCTCCAAAAGCAAAATTTGCAAAGCAAACCACCAAGAGAGGATGAAGAAAAAGTCGAGGGAATAACATATTCATCAATTAATTTTCTATTGGAAACCTTTCCACATTTGAAGAGGAAAACAGTGCCCAAAATGAGAGCTTTTGAATGAAGAGGTACCGTACGAATGTGTGTGTATGAAAGATAGGTTTGTGAGGAGAGTATTGGTGCTTACAGCAGCTTTTTATGGACAGAGAAAGATAGAGTAGGCCTTGAAGGACTGAAACTGAGGTCAACTACGTTTAAAAAAATTATTATTCTCCACCACTCACTTTATAGTCTAATCTCCTTTTATATAAAAAATTTACGTTTGCATAAAATTACTTTAAATTACAAGTATAGAGAATGAACTAGGAATCGTCATTCAAGACTTTTCCCAAGCAATAAAAGCCGTACATGAAATTAATTAAGTGCATTTTTTTTATTTGTCAGAATTGATTGTATACCTATTTTCTTGGTTTGAATTAAATTTTTTCCAACGTAGGTAAGGAAAAATCCAAGTCATCCAACGGAATAATCCAAATCACACCAGCAATTAATTATTTTAATTCCAAAATCTGCATGCAAACACACACGTACTGTACATAAAGCTGTTTTGACTAAAACACGTAATCATCCGAATAATAATCAATATATAAAAGTTCCACGGCATCCCCTTTCTCAGTTTTCCATTATTTACATCTTTTGTTTGGAAATATTTTTGCACGTAAAATTAAGATTGATTATTGTTTAATTAGTGATCATTTTGAAAAGATCTTTAGTTTAAAAATTAAATGTCGTCAATGACAATTTAATTAGAAAAATAAAGTTCAAAACTCTTTATACCTGTCTGAATGCAATGCCTGTAGAAAATAACTTAATATTGTTTTAAATTTTCTCCAACGTAGGTGTGGAAAAATCCAAGTCATCCAACGGAATATTTCTTGTGGAATTTTCATCCTTTTTCTTTTTCTTTTATATATATATATATATATATCCGATAAAGGAAAACTTCAACTTGCATGGATACTCTACTAAGCCCAAATGTCAGAGTGTCCGTGTCCATGGTCTCATAACACGGTCAACTCATACTCTAAATCAACTAATGTGTTAATTCAATTATAATTCATATAAAATTAATAAATTAGATTTGAAAGGTTTGGAAGGCTTGAATTTCACTATATAGTATTGTGAAATTGGAGTATGAACATCAATATTTTATTTATAAAAAAAAATACAAGTTTTTGTTATAAAATTCCCATGTCTCTGTGTCCTAGCTTTTTGAAATTTGCCATTAACCATGTTCCCATATCGCGTATTCATGTCGCCATATTAACATAGACTTTCACACCAGTAATTAATTATTTTAATTCCAAAATCTGCATACTAACATGTACATCGAAAAGCTGTTTTGACTAAAACACGTAATCACCCGAATAAAGGTTTCCAAAAATATAATAATCTATACAGAAAAGTTTCCACAACATTCCCTTTCTCAGTTTTCCAGTATTTACATCTTTTGGATGGACACTCCAACTTCCCAATCAACCAGTTAATGCATTGAAGCTGTACGTTATTGACTTTGAATTGAAGCCGCAGGTTCTTAATTTAATTTATATCTGTCAAAGAAAAAATAAAGAAAAATAGAGCAGTCAAAATTATATTAGTAAAAGGAACATGACTCTAAGTAGAAACTCTTACTTCCAACGATTAAAAAAAATAAGAAACTTTTACTTTCATATCAATAACAGTTTTACATGTGTGTATAAATTTTCTTATTATATTTTTATTGAATTATATACGTATCAAATTATGATTTACAAAATGATGATTTCTAAAAGTGTTATTAGTAAAAATCATAATGAACTTGTGTCAAGAGCCATGTGACTATGTGACTCACCTAATCGGCCAAACAATTAATGTTTCCCATTTTAAATTCATCCATAAAACCAAAATTACTTTCAAAATAATGACAGTGATAGGAATTAAAGGGTTAGCTTCAGGACCCATGTCGAAGACAAAATAAGCTTCTGTAACACCCCGACCCTAAATTATTTAGCCACCAAATTATTTAATTTATTTAAATATGAATTTCCAATTTTGGCCTCGGGGTAGGGGCAAAATTGTCATTTTAATCCGGAAGGATTTTGGGACAGTGGCTGGTATTTTTATGTAGGTCGTACTGAGACGAATCCGTAGACATGCGGTGGGCTCGATTCGGAGTTGTAACGAAAAAGATATGGTGAAAATACCCCAAGTGGCAAAATCGTAAATATATTGAATTGGATTTTAATCCTGATGACATGCCTAATCATGAAAATAACTTAACCTCTAATGATGTGGAGCAACCTATGCATGCTGTGATGTCTC